ACAGTAAAAAGCACTTCTCTGCATATGTTTTTTTGCATACTGGGAGGGGACAGCAGTTAGACTACACATTTATTTGCATCACTGATAGCCAAGGCTTGGTCTGGCTTATGTTAGCTTCTTTACAAGGAGTCCTGACTTGAAGATGGGCTTAATGATGATTGTATGAGTAATCAGTATTCAACTAATGCTGTTGTAATGAGAAAAACCCCTTTCCTCCTACAGGTAAGATAAAAATTTAAACTACAAGGTTTTCCTGATAGGCTCTGAAATGTTGAATGTTTCAGAGACCAAATTTTGAATCTGAAATAGAAAAGCAGAATAAGAACTGAGTGGGGATGTGGACACTTTGAAAGGGAGAGCTGCCCTGCAGGAAGACCTGGATAGGTTGGAAGAGTGGGCTAACACGAACCTTATGAAGTTCAACAATGACAAGTGTAAGTAAGGTCTTGCACCTGGGAAAACATGATCCAGGAGTGCAGCACAGATTGGGACCTATCTGGCTGGAGAGCAGCTCTGTGGAAAGGGTCCTGGTGGACAAATTCAGTATGAGCTTGGAAGGCCTCAGGATGTGGGATACAACCCTCGGAGCATCCAGGTTTTTGTTTATAAATCCTGCAGCCTTGGGAGCCCTGGGAAGTTCAGGTATTTTGACTTGCTGGAGTCTGTAAGCATTTTGTTGTGGAACCAGGAGCATTGAAGTCCTGAGAACTCCATGGTTTTGTCTCTCATGTGATACTAATTTCAGTTTGGTTTCTTGGATATTCTTTTCCCTTTTATTCCAAAATCAGTTGTGTGGGGCTTCTTAATCTGAGCTTTCATCTATACTACTGTATGCCAGAGTCATAAACTATTCTTTCCAACTCTTGTTCCATATCTCCTTCTCATGGCCTCCCAGAATATTCAGAGCAGTGACAGGAGGGGTGTAGTCACTGAGTTCATACTCTGCAATCTCTGTTCTTTGTCTTCCTAGTGTACCCCGAGGAAGGCTTGTATAATTGGTCAATGTAATTCAAAAGAAGAGAATGAATTTAAGAACCATATCCCTCGAACACTTGATAGTGTATGCATTTGTTTGTCTCTCTGCAGGGCTCAGTTATTGTGCTGAAGTCATGTGGCAGGGTTACTAAAACTCATGATTTCTAAAAATAATTGAGAGTGGTGCAATGGTTAGTGTACTATCCGAGGCCATGTGAGGCACAGGTTCAGTTTGCTTCTCTGCCAGCAATTTCCTATTTATCCTCAGCAAATGTCTTGCTCCTCGCGTTCCCCATATTTAGCGTGGTGACTGTAGTACTAGCCTACATAATAGAAATAGCAAGGTAAAATATATAATAAGTTGTAAAATGGCTCATATATTGTGATGACTGGAGTTTTTATTTTCCCTTGTTAAAAACTCCTAGAGTTTCACATTTCATATTCAGGAATCATGGGGGACCATAGCAAAAGCTTAAGATGTTTTTGCTCAGCTTTCAGTGTTTGTTCCTGTTCTTGCCCGCTGTAGTCCCTTTCCTCACTGGATCAGCAAGATCATTTATGGGGAATGTCTTGTAAAATGGATTTGGAACTTTTACAAGGGGGAAAAATAAGCATAATTTTTATATATTGCAGAAATACCTTTTATATCTGTATTATGTCTTTATAAATACATGGTTATAAATATGTGTATGAACTTGGTCAGCTTTTGCTCTGTTTTGCAGCAGCCGAACAGGGCAGAAACAGAGGGGTTCAGGAGCACTGTAGTTGGGCGTAATTAGCACAGAAGTTCTGGTGAGATAAAACTAAGGGCTGAGAAAAAAATATTAAATATTTTGTGACTTCCAATAAAAACTGAAGTTGTTGGGATCTGTATTTTGAGGACTGTGGTGGACTGTTAGGAGGAGGGAACCAAGTAAATCAGTTTCAGTAGGACCAGCCTATGATGTTTGAACCTCATTGCTAATACCCTTCCTTTCCATTTGTCTGCTGCACCCATTGTGACATCCATTTTCATACCTGGTATCTGAAAACGGCCTAAATTCTTACCCCTAAGAGTTGGCTGAGCCATTTAGATGCAATGAACTGATGTTCGTTGCCTTGCCCCAGGCATTTGTATGTGGGACTGAAATGATTTTCTTGATGTGGAGACATCTCTCAGCAACAAAATTCTGTGATTCAGTAATCAAAGATTAATGAAGTACAGAGTGAGCTTTTGAATGTTTTTCATGCCCTAATTACTTAAAAAGAGGTGAGATCTGTAGTGAAGCAAAATGTGTTTGTTGCCGTGCTGAGGTACACTGTCAGGTGGGACCACTGTAAGGTGCTGTGAAATGGCCTTGCAGCACCAACTACCACTGGAGTCTCAGTCAGAAGCAAAGTTTAAGTGCAATGACTAGTCAAAACACGGCTGGATAAAACTGGTCGCAGCTTTTTCATTGCTTTTTTTTTTTTTTTTTTTTTTTTTATAGCAAATAAGCAGTTCTGTGTGATTTATTAACTGAGCTACATAAATACTGAGTTAGAGTTCCAGCAGGAGGAAGTGGCATCTAATCTGTAAAGCTGCCCCAAGGCCACAAATTCAAGTGACAGAAGTTTACTGAGGCTTGTAAATTCTCCCTGGTGGCAACAGCACAAATGTAGGAGGGTCATATGTTTCCTCTGTACGCACTGGGAGGGGAGGCTGGTCTGGAACTGTGCTTGCCCTAGTGCTTGTTGCTCAGGCTTGGAGTTTGAAGCTCTCTGTTGGTTGTACATGTGTCTTTGTTCATTCTGAAGTATAAACTGTGATGTAGACCCGTCATGGAGAACTCTTAATGGAAGGTGCATTACAGGTAGTGGTAAAAAACCCTAATCTTTTGTAGTATTTGAAGGCAAAAATAGGAAACTGTAAAACATCAGTAAGGTCTAATAATGGAAACTTGGAAAAAAAAAAAGCTTGTGTATGGCAGTAAGACAGTTGTGTTTGCTGCGTTTTTCAACGACCAGTAGAAATGTTTCCACTATTTACACACTCTGACAGGATTTGTGGAGATTTTTTGTTTATTACAAAATATTCTTTCAGTTTTTTAACCTGCAGGAGAGTGGATTAATTATTATTGTCATGTAACTTAACATGGGAAGCTAAGGCAAATATTTATATTGCATTAGTTTTCACAGATGCACAGCTTTTTTTCTTTTTTTTTTTTTTCTGAAGCTAGCCTACATCATTGTAAATTTTATGGCAAATCAATGGGTGCAACAGGAAAAAAATGCTTTGAAACGCTTGTGTGTGGTCATAATTTTTTCTCTCAGAGCTCAATTTTGTGTGACAAGTAAAACCCACTGAAAGTATCTAGCTGCAGCATAGGATTGCAGTGGCACAACTTTTTACCGCCAGTAAGTGAATTTTAAATGGAAGACTTTTTCAGACTTCTAAAACCATGCTTAGTCATTTTCCTTCTGTTTGAATGCGACTTACCCTGCTGGCTTTGGTGTCTACAGGTCCCTTCCATGTTTGTTCCTGAGAAAGTTGGTTCTTGATGATTGCTCACATTGAAGTTTGTATGTGCACCATAGATGTGTATAAAAATATCCCACTCTACTTTGGTCACTGCTAATTTATCTTTTTTTACTTGGGTGTTTTGTGTGTATCCTTTTCTGCTATCGTATACACTGCTAAGTGGTCATCATGCAGTTGCCTTTCTGATGGACACATTTGATGCAGGTAGTTTTGAAAAGCAAAGTAAATAAACACTTAAATACAGGCTTGGACCTGCCTGTTGTTAAAATGTTATTCTAGAGCAAAATACGTGAGAGAAAGGTATTACACATGGAAATACTGGGTATTTCATGGCACAAAGTACTTTATGGTGGAGGGATCTTTTCTCAGAAAAAGCCTGTCAAGAAAGATACAGCACTGCTATAGGGTGTTGATTCTGATTGCAGAATTTTAAGGGGCTTTGGGGCATAGATATCTAAGGTTGAATAAATGCTATATTGTCTTTTCTCACAAGGATACCTTATAAATAACTAACAGTGTATTATAATGTGCATGTGAAAGTGTCATTTGAAAATTGTGCATAATTTTTGCTTTTCCTGGTAGCTGTATTTCTTTCACAGTGGCCTCCTAGTATGGTTTCTTTACAAAAAGTAAAGAATAACCTGCATTTTAAATTTGCTGTATCACTTTGCACCATCAGTGTGCTACTTTTACGCTTATGACAAAATGACGAATGTGGAAGCACCAGGCGTGACCTGAAGTATTTCTCTTCCTCCCCTCCAGGCACTTTACACACATATGCACAGGCACACGTGCGTGGTTGTGCCTTCTCTGTTTCAGAGTCCTAGCAGGCATGCTGTGCTACTATCTGGAAAAGAAACGTGGCGTTTGTGTCAGCTTTTTTAGTTAACAGTCTACCTGCGATGTCAGATGACTTACTGCCATACACAAGGACAATCTCTGACAAACTAGTTAAATAGAGTTAAATAGCTGCAGGTTCAGATATCCTTGTGTTTCAAGAGTTTTAAGAATTGATTGATGACCCTGTAAGAGACAGCAGGTCTGCTTTTCTGGTTATAGTTAATTATATCACAGGTGATGGCGTCACATTATGTGCACGTATAACTGAGACATGTGCCTATTCAGTGTATGCTGGGTGATAGTCTATTCCAGTGTCTATTCCCTGTCCCGTGGCATTTGGTTAAGCCAGAACAAAAATGTAAGTCGCTGTTAATTTAATGATCAGGGAGAGGTTAACACCTGTCTATCTAATCCGTACTTTTCCAGTATTTTATTGCATTAAAGGAGTATCACTGTCTCACGGTTCTAGCTCATAAACAGCTAAACAGTACTTGACATTTAAAGAGATTTTCTGTTGTGCACTTGTATAGTCAAGAGATTCTAATCCTATTAAAGATATTATGTCATGGAGGCGTGCTCTGTGGGAGAAGGCTTCTGCTAACTGGCTCAATGGGAAGCAGAGGGGAGGAGCGAGCAGGAGGGTGGATTTATTACTGATAGTTAGGTCAGGGATTTCTGTGGGAAATGCCCAGTGGTTGCAGTTGCTGATGATTTCACGGCAACAGCAGTGAAACACAGAGTGTGCTCTGATAGCTGGTTACTGAATGAGATACTGCAAATGGGTGGAAAGAAAAAAGACAGCATGTGAGAGAGAGTCAGAAAGACACAGAGAGGGAAGCTGAGAGCAAGCAAAGTGCTCCGGCTCGAGGAGAGTCACCCAGGTGTACTGCAGAAGCTTTTTGGAAATGGATGCAAGGACCATCTGCTGCCTATAGATTAGAGGGCTATAGACTAGGGGTAGAGAGAAAGATCTTATGGCTCTTTTGAATAAAAATCGAAGTTCTGCATAAGTGATTCATCAGGATAAATGATGAGTATGCTCTTGCATGGGATATTAATGTATAAATCCATGCTACAGATAGACAGAGTACAGCCTACATTGCTATGAAAAATAAAGCCAGCAACAATGCAGTGAATAAATTCTGCAGTGAATAAATTCTGCAGTGATTATCTGATTTATGTACGAAGAAAAAGAGAAGCAAAACACAGACAGCTCTTATCGCACTGTGACATTTTCAAGGCACTGCATTTAATGCTGAGAGATGCTATACATTAAATCTGACAACTGTGAAAAGAGAGATCATGGAGAAGTCAAGTAGTGAGGATTCTTCAATTCACCGGAGTCCATCTTTGGATAGCAAAGACTCAGATTTTGCTAAACCTTCTACCTCAGGGAGGCAATTTGGTCGAGGTTTTACTGCTGGAGCTTTCTATGGTACAACGGGATCACGCACACAGAGCCACACTGGGGTCGGAACCGGGACCGGCGTTGGGACTGGGACTGGCGTAAAAAGTGACAAATACAGTGCACCCAAAGGCAGCAAATACGTGGTCTTTTACCTGGATCTATCCTTTGTTTTCCTTTTAGAATTTAAGAAGTGCAACATGGCAAGAGGCTGCCTGTGTTGTTTGAAATACATGATGTTCCTTTTCAATTTAATATTTTGGGTGAGTACTGCCTTTTCAGTTGCCTTCATTTGTTAGTGTATCCTGTAGTGCTACATTATATGTATAGTGCATCTTTGAAGCAGTACAGTAAGTTCCCCCCTCCCCTCCCTCTCTCTCTCATACCTGCTTGGAATATTTTCAGTGTTAAACTTGTGTCTGTTGGGAAAATGTACATGCTTTCTGTATCTTTATTACTACCTGCTTACTGTGGGTTTGGCAGTAGTTCCTCAAACTTGATGTTTTAATATCTGTTTTAAACTGTGTTATCTAAGAAAAGGCAGGATTGTTGCCCTTTAAGGAAGAGCAGAATTATTGTAGCATTAAAATCCTGCAGTGGCAGGATTTTTGCATTCTGTTGTAATACTTCATGTTCCATTAAGTTGCAGGTTTAAATTTGAAGTACGTTCTCATTGTCACCATAAATCTCATTTGTTTTTTTGTAAACTTCATTTGACAAACTGCTTTTTCATGTCTGTCGCACTTCTCCAATTAAAAACAGTAAATCACATATGTTCTAACCTCTTAAGGTATCAGCACAAATGTGAAATGACTGGAATGGTGAATTAATCTGGATTCGGTTTCAGCTGCACTTGGTGTGTGAAGTTGGAGACTTGCACTTGCTTCTGAGGGATCAAAATTGATTTTTCTCCATCAGCCAAGAGGCATGAGGAGTTGTAACGATGCCTCAGCAAGCAAGTTAAAAGCATAATGGTTACTTTGAGCAAAGTATTTTCATGTACAAAGGAGAGAGGAAAAGTTAAGTCATCTGGCAGCAAGGCATCCTTGAGTGAACAGCATTGTTTGAGGAAATCACAGGGTAACTGAAGTGTTGAATGTGCATGAATATAGCCCAATATGAAATGGTTTGCTTGGTTTGAAATCAAAGGTCACTGCTTTCCTGGTGGTTGCAAAGCTTGGACACAAGAACAAAATCATTCATAGCTCTGATCCTGAAATACATAGTATGCTTCATAAATAAGTGAAAGCACCATCCCTGGATTTATTTTGGAAAAAAGGGGCATTAACAATCTAGTTCAGATAGCTACCTCTGGTATAGAGGTATCATTGTTCAAATCAGGAGGCTTACTAGCAGCTTCTCTGTCTTGACCTACTTCCTAAAATAACCTTTAAGAGCAAGAGTTAATGGGAGATTTGGTACGGTGTTGGACCACTCATGCAACAATGAGCTTTTATCAGTAATAGACTGAATTGATACAATTACTGAACTTGTGTCTTAAATAGAAGGGTAGAACTGGTCATTGAAGAACATCTGATCAAAGTTCACTGTGATTTTTTTTTTCTGTACACAAACCCTACCAGAAAGTTGCCTTAACTATTTCTGGAATAAATCACTTTGAACACACTAGATTAATATCAAGCTGGCTATTTGACCCAATGCTGCATTACTTTGACAGCCTGGAAGTATTTTTTTCATATGCTATATGTTGTGATTACCTTTGGAACAGCTTTTTTCTGATATTATTACTCATGTCCCCTGTGATCAGGTATCTCTTACCCCTCACCTCCTTAGTTGCAATATCTTTCTTTACTTTTATCTCCTTCCCCAGCAGCAATCTTCTTGACTCTGCATCAGAGTCCATTTTTCCATTCCTTGAACTCACAAAAATATTTCAGACCTCATCTTCATGCCCATTTCTGTCTGCTCAGCTCTCACTGGACTTATATACACACATTGCTTCTGAGGTTAAAACTAGCCTACCATCTGGAACAGTCCTCTAGTGCTCTGTGCTGCTTCAACTCTTACTCTTAACTCTTAATCCCCTTTACACCCTCCCCACCATGTCCTTTGTTGTGAGGCTTATACTACTTTTCTTTCTGTTACTAAAATTTGTCACCACATCACTGTCTAATATTCTAAAAGGGCTTTTTGTATGAACCAGGCTGTACAGAATGAAAATGATACTCAGGAATGGTGAATCTCAGAGATTATAGAAAAATGCTAAATGCAAGATATCAGGTACTTTTCAAAATAGATTACAACAGAAATTTGATCCACCAGCCTGGTTTAAGTTGTTCAGAAGTCCCCCTTTCTTCACTTCATCTGGCTCGTACTCAATTTTGCATGCCAGTCTTGATGTTCTTATGCATCATTCCAGAGGACTGCAGCCTTGCTAGTTAGTTATTTTTTTAAGCAGGCTATTTTATTGTCTTGAGCCATTCAAATGAATAACATTATCATCTCTTCTAACTCATGGAAATGCATGCTAGAATGAATCAGAATCATAGAGTGGTTTGGGTTGGAAGGGACCTTAAAATTCATCTAGTCCCACCCCCCTGCCATGGGCAGGGACACCTTCCACTAGCCCAGGTTGCCCAAAGCCCCGTCCAACCTGGCCTTGGACACTGCCAGGGAGGGGGCAGCCACAGCTGCTCTGGGCAACCTGTGCCAGGGCCTCACCACCCTCACAGGGAAGAATTTCTTCCTTATATCTAATCTATCTAAAGTGAAAGAGGATAGCCTTTTTCAATTTAAAACCGTTACCCCTTGTCCTATCCCTACACTCCCTGATCAAGATTCCCTCCCCATCCTTCCTGTAGCCCCTTTAAGTACTGGAAGGCCGCTATAAGGTCTCCCCAGAGCCTTCTTTCCCCAGGCTGAACAACCCCAACTCTCTCAGCCTGTCTTCATAAGGGAGGTGCTCCAGCTCCCCAGTCATGTTTGTGGCCTCCTCTGGACCCACTCGAGCAGGTCCATGTCCTTCTGATGTTGGGAGCCCAGAGCTGGACACAACACAGCACAGGGGGTCTCACCAGAGCAGAGTAGAGGGGGAGAATCCCCTCCCTTGCCCTACTGGCCACACTGCTCTTGAAGTTTGCCCGTTCTCATTGCTTCATTCTGAATTTCTGCTAAGAAACCCAAATCCAAAAACGTGAAGTTGTGGCCTACTCCTGACCAGTGACAATCATCTGTTGTAATGCCAGGTGACTTGTTTTCAAAAAGAGAAGACTCTTTTTTAAGCATAAAATTTCCTGAACCTGTAATTCAAAGCAGAATGAGACTCCTGGTCTTCAGAGGCGAGGAGGTCATTTCCACATTGTTATCTTCTAACAAAGGCAAGAGGTGTTTTGTTTTGTTTTTTTATACAGGAACCAATTTAGGCAACTGGAAACAGAGGTGGAAAAACTGTGGTTTAGGGAGTCTTTAAACAGGTGCCAGCCTAGCAGCTGTACAGCTGCAATAGGCAATCCAGCTGACCAGCTTGCTTGCCACAAAGCCACATTGTTCTGAGCCTGCAGTAGCAGAAAGCCCGTCTCATGGAAGGTGTTCTTCTGCCATAGCAAAATGTTGTTTCTGAGATGCTTCCTCTGAAAATGAGGACTGGTGGTATCCTTTGGCACCCCAGACTGCTGGGCACAGTTGTCTTGAATGATTCTTGGTGTTGGCCCAGAGAAGGATGTTCAGCTGTAGGAAAAGAGGAATCTTTTCCCCTTATTTGCTTCTTGACACAGAGAAGAAGACTGGGACCTAATCTGTCCCTCATGGGGCAGGGAGCTGTACTACTCCCTCAGTTGGGCAGCCAGCTCATATATATTTGAAGACCAATTTTATATGTATACTATATATTATACACATTATTTTTATATGGAACATATTTTATATATTTTATATATATACACACGTATAGGTTTGAAGGTGATGGAGAAGTACAGCGGTTAGTGGATTCTCTCTGTTGTTATGCAGTAAACATACGGTCGCTGTGATAACTATGACAGAGCGGTGGTGCATTGTTTCTGCCCAGCAAGAATTCAGTGCTTGTGAATTAGATTAATGACAATAAAGTATAGTTTTTGAAAATTAGTATCATGTATATTAGTTAATGTGGAAGGATCGCACATGAGTTCTGCAAAGCAAACTGATCTAAGTGGGGCGCAGCAGTGAGTTGAAACAGAAGGTGTTTCTCCGGCGTATCACTAAGGGATTCAGGTATTTCTCCGTGGCCTGCTGATTCTTAACAGTTGTTCTTGGCCATCTGGCATTGCTTTCTTTTAGAGATTAGGATAGTCTGAGCTGAGGGTTAAGGAAGCTTATAGAATTTAATTGTGTGGCTAGGATGATGATTTAAACTGAATTCATTCTAAGTGCATAATATGTTTTGCAAAGGAGCTAGGTAACTACAAATGTTAGTTGATTTAGTTTCTCTTCGAGAATATTTATGTGCAAACATAGGGAGATTTTAAAGTAGCCGATATAGCTCTGTAGAAGAAAGAAAATATTGATTTTTGCTTCTACAGATAGCAGCTTAATTCTCAAGAAAGGTAATCACCAAACGTAAATGTTAGGGTATATGTCTTTCTAGGGTAGATTTTATTTCATTGTTTTATTAGAGAAAATGATTACAATAATTATTTTTGCAAAATGTATCAGAAAAATCTTACTGGCTATAAAATGAAAATTCTATAAAACATACATTTTAAAAAGAAATTTCACTAATGAGATGAGAATTTCGTAGAGTCCTAAAAGGGAAATTTTGAAATGACAGGAATAATTTATCGAAATTTCACTAGAGAACTTCGTAAGTAGACAGTGGTCATGGTTAAATTTTGGGTTGTTCTATATGTAACTAAGGTTAATGAGTCCACATAAAACACACCTTGTTAGATTTTAGCATTACTTAATTTTAATATAAAATTCATTTTATTAGGAGGAATAGAAGGCAAGATTATTACATCTCTGATTCTGTGTTAAAGGAAGAGCTAAGGAAAAGCTAAGTATAACCAAGAAGATCCTTAATGTGGTTTATTTTAAAAATTTTTTACATTTAAACCACTACAAAAAATATGATAGGAATAATACTCATATATTAATGGTATAATTATAAACAGAAGTTACACTTTTATCTAAATTAAATGGAGTCAGATTTACAAATTCAAATATTTAATGCTCAGTTTCAAAGTAAATTTTATTATAGGTTGCAAGCATTTTCCTTTCACTGAAATGTAAGTCTAGAAGAGTAGAAGATGGGCTGCAAACTTGCTGG